CCCTCCCTCCCTCCCTCCCTCCCTCCCTCCCTCTCTCTCTGTATGTGTACATGTTCAGTTGGCATCCTTCAGTCTCAAAAGACTCTGGGAAAAGGTCCTAATCAGCATCTGGTGTGGCTAAAAAGGCCAATTCAAGAGGATTCTTGTAAGTGTAAGTGGAATCCCTTCCTTTCCCGAAGACCCTTTAAAAAAAAAAAAGCCTGTACCAAAAAGGTTGCTTTTCCCCCCTTTTCAGGATTGTATCACGTGCTCTGCTTTACAAGCCTTCAGACTGATATTATCACTATCTTTTTATGCTGTAAAGCACCGACATATATATTTTTGGGTTACTTGTGAGACCTGAATTCTAGATAAAACTCTTGTGCCACTGAAGAATTGTTGGAAAAGGGAGGATGCCTGTCGCTAGTTACAGCGTGGCAGATTCGACCTGCTTATTCCGCTCCTCCTCCGGCCTAATCCTCCCGGTGCCACCTAGAGTCAAGATTTTGGGAGCTGAGGCATGGTTAGGATAGGGAGCCCGACTCTCACCTCCGCTGTTCCAGGGGCTGGAAGGTCCGTGGAGGCTCCGTCCCGTCTCGCTTAACAACAGGTGGGCTACCTTCAGAGCCACCTGGTCTACAAAAGCATGCGGGAGGGTGGTGCAGTTTCTTACTTGTTCTTTGCCCCGAGGCAGAAACCCAGAGGGCCAGAGAGTCCGCCCATCTCTCCCCCGAGAGGCCTCCGGGCACTGCAGCTGACCGGCGGCCGAGGGGCTCTGCTCCCGACGCAAGGGACAGGCTTTGTCCGGGGGCCCCGTTAGGTGGCAAGGCTGCCGTTTCCTGATGAAGGCCCTTCTCTCGGCCTCCAGGGCCGGATCGCCTCGTGCCGCCGGGGAAGTTCTGGACATTCCGATTAAACAGACCTAGAAGGAAGAGGAATCTTTCTGTGGCTGAGAACCTCAGTGGCTCTTCTGGGGTCCCCACGCGGGGCGCTCTGAAGTGCCAAGGCCCGGCGTGGGGCTGAGGCTTTGGGAAACTCCCCGTGTGCAGCCGGGGCTCAACAACGAGGCTGCTAAAGTGGGGAAAGAGGCGCGAGAGCTTTACCCTTTTGGTGGAAGGGATCCGGAGGCAATCTTCTTCCACCTGGAAGCCGCACACAGTCCCGACCTCTGTGACGAAATCGAGATATTCCCTGTACTGGCTCTTCTGGCTCTGCCGACGGTTGTATTTCCCATAGAAGTCGAAAAAGCAGCAGGGCAGCAGAAAATAGCGACAATAGTGGGAAGACCTGCAGCAGGGAGGCAAAAGGAAGCCAGGCCTTGCGGAAGGCTCCCAAAAGCCCCTGGGACTCGCACCGCGTCCGTCTGTCTGTCTGCCTGCCTGCCTGTCTGTCTGTCTGTCTGTCTGTCT